ACCCTATATTTTAAATCCTCATTAATTTTGTGGCCTCAAAAGTATAATACATAAATTATTCTGTCTTTGATTTACATATGAATTATGATAAAATAAAATTTAGCCAAAATCTTGTTTGATGGACTATTTGAAATATACAACAAGATAGCAAAATTTTCCTATATGATAGACTCATAATATATATCATATTCATAGGTTCTCAGCAAATCCTACTTTATTTTATCTAAACCTATTTTTGTCACAAAACAATCTACATTTATTATAGAAAAAGTATAAATTGAAAATAATTCTACCACTATGTTATAACCACTTAATAGACTTTTTCCATATATATTAAAAAACTAAATCATAAGGTATATAATATTTTGTAAACTATGTTTTCCACTTAACAGTATCTTTTAAAAATCTTTTGAAATCAATGAAACACCATCATTTTAATGACTTTGTAACTCTGCTGTGTGTATTCACCACAATTTACCCAAACAGAAATTATTTAGGAGAGATGGAAAAGAATAAAGGACCATTCAGGACCCTCACATAAGTGCTGGGATCAATTTTGTGTGTGGCACTTAAGTGTTTCACTTGCATACTGAATAAATATAAGATGAATGATAATTCATGTCAGGAATTAAAATCAACTGTTTGGCATTACTGGGGATTGAACCAAAGGCTTTATACACGCTCTGCTAATATTACCACTGAGCTACAATCACAGCCCTTTTTATGTTATATTTTGAGATAAGGTCTCACTAAGTCATGAAATTGTCTAGACTAGCCTTGAACTTTCAGTCCTCTTGCCTCAGCCTCCCAAGTAGCTAGGGTCACAGGCATGCCACCATACATGACTAAAAACATCTTTGATTACTTATCTAGTGAGTATGCTTACAACTGTAGATGGCCAAGACACTGTAGGGAGTAAAGCAGAGTTCCAATAAAGCTGACAGAAATAGGGATGCCTTATTTGAAGCAAAGTATATAAACAAGATGATATTACAAACTAAGTTAAAGCTGATATCCATCTTCAAATATGGCAGAGCCTCTAAGTGGAAGGAAAATTTCACTTATTCTTACTAGCTCTAAAATGCAGAACTGGAAACAAAAACTAGTAGGGGAAGAAAGGCAGATTTTAACTCAGAGTGAAGACTCAACTTGTTAATATTAGAACTATTGAGAATGGAATGTATTTTCTTATGAGACGGTGTGCTCCCAGCCAGGGAAAATGTTTGCTCCAACCCTGGGATAACTACTTACAGATGAAACATCATCAGCATTCAACAAGAAGAAATTTAAGATAACAAATACTAAGTTCTTCATTTGCTTCCAGAAAAAAAAATGATAATAGTTGCAATGTTGTTGGAAGTGTCACTTAACAGGAACATCTGTCAGAAAGCCTCAAGGGATTTGGTGACACTGAATCAGACCACAGTGTGGTAGGGAGGCCAAAGTAACTCGTGTGATCCCAGTAAGAGCCTCAGAAGAATGTCTAGAGTAGCAATAGGGGTTGTGATCATTACCCCTGATCATCACTTGGTCACTTGGTGAGGCAAAGCTCTGGGTGTGTCCTTGAGGGTGTTTCCAGAAATGGCTGGCACAGGGTCAGCAAGCAGAAGAGGGACTACCTGCCATAAATGTGAGTGGCACCATCCCAAACCTGGGGGCCTGGACAGTATGGAAAGTAGAGGAAGGGAGGAGCATGCACAGACCCACAAGCTCAGTTCTTCTTGAGCCAGTATAGTTTTCTTTGCTGCCATTGCCTAAGAATATTAAACACCTGATTCTTTAGTGTTGAAGGTGGACTCCCACCAGTGGCTCTGCAGGGGGTCCAGACCTTCAGCCTGCAACTAGGGCTTCTTCCTGATTCCCTCCTGTTCTGAGGCTGCTGGCTTTTTGGATTGAATGGCTACTGGTTTCCCGGGTGCTTCAGCTGACAAACAGCTACTGTGAGCCCAGCCTCTGATCATGTAAGTCAACCTAGGAAACCCCTTCTTATAATTATATGTACATTCTCTTGGTTCTATTCTGCTAGAGAACTCCAACTAATAGCAGGGTGATGGTCCTGTTCCACTCTGTGGTGTCCTTGTGCCTGGAACATTATGCTTTCCATAGGGACCACACAGGCACCAGGAGCTTCTTCAGAGAACACCTCCATAGATGCTAAGGAGAACAAGCAAGGGGATATAAATGCAACTCTTGAGAAAGGAGAGCTGTCCCTTGAATCTGGATTTGACTGCAGATCTCACATAGCTCATGGGACATAGTATCTAAATCACGAAGTAGAATCAGTGTGAGAAGGTTGGACTGAAATTCATAATCATGATCAAAACAGGAAGTTCCAAAAGCTCTTATCTAAGTAGAAGTACAGATGCATGAGCTAACTAGGCATCCAATTCTTCAGGCTGGGCTTGAGCTCACTTTATAACCCAGGCTGACCTCAAACTTGCAGCAGTCCTCCTGCCTCAACCTCCCAAGTGCTGGGATTACAAGTGTGTGCCACCACGCCTGGGCAAAGATCTCTATTTTCCTTCAGAATGTTTTTATTGAACTCACCACTCCATCCTTTCCCCTATGATATGTTTAAGGAATTAAATTTCCTCAAACATATAGATTTAAAAGAAGGAATAATCTCTGTTCTACATGAATTGAAATGATACCTCTAAAACCAATATATGAAAGCCATAAGATGACAGGTTTCCCTTTTTTGTAAATGCTATCAATCAAACCCAGAGCTTAATGTATGGTAGGCAAGCACTCTACCATTGAACTACATCCCTAGGCCCAGAATTCAATGTTGTATGAAAAAAATTCTTTTAAAATTTGTTTTTTTTTTCATTTTGTTTCCTATTCCCAGAATTTGATTTGGAAACTGAATTTCCTAAACTGATTGATTCTTTTTTTTTTTTTTTTTTTTTTCATTTTGAGACAGGGTCTCACTATGCAGTTCAGGCTGGGCTTGAGCTCACTTTGTAGCCTAGGCTGATCTCAAACTTGCAACAATCCTCGTGCCTCAAGTGCTGGGATTATAGGCATGTGCCACCACACCTGGCTTAAACTGATTGATTCTTGATTTTAATTATCTTTCTTTTATTTTCCTATTTTCTTTGTATTTTCTGAGGAATTTCCTTATTTCATCATTTTACATATCATTTTGTCTGCATCATATTTTTAAGAGATGTGCTTGTGCACATCCCTTTTTATACCATCTTGTTCTTGTTTCATGCATAGAATACCTTCATTTCTCTCTGAGAATTTTATAATACGTTCCATATTTTTTTTTCCATTAAATCATTTTATTTTCTTCAGAAGTCCTTTTTTTCCTGTTTTTTTGTTTAGGTTTGTTTCATATTGGAAGCTCTTCTCAAACATATGTTGGTTTGGTCTTGACATTCTTGTTTAAGAGGCAAAGCCGTGAATGCTTACTGGATGCTCAGTGTACACGAGGGCCTTACCAAAGAGAAGTGGGACAGCCTCCCCCACTGGTTCAGCATCTACTGGACATTTCTCTCTGGCTGGTCAGTTTCCCCAGAGAAAATTCCTTCAGTTCTTGTCTGAGGGCTATTAGGCTATTCACAACATTGTAGTTTAGAACAAGGGAAAGGGGTATGGATCTCACCACTTAGATTTTTAACTTCCACTAAATCCCATTCCTATTTTATTTTATTTTATTTTTGCAGTACTGGGAATGGAGCCCACAGCCTCACATATGCCATGTAAGTGTTTGATCACTGAGCTGCATCCCCAGCCCACTGAATCCCA